TGCAAAGATTTCTCTTCGGGTCTCAATGTGTCTTGGAATGTAAATATATAATCTGGTGCGGTTGCAACCACAATATACTGATTGCTATTGGGTACTTTATTGAATTCTAAACCAGTTATAGGATATTTGGGACGTCCCAAACCCAAATCATATACCTGAAAGAAAAAGTTTGTGTGGTAAGTAAAACCGTAAAAGAAGTTGATCAAAAAGGATCTATAGTTTAAAGATGATGAAAATGTCGATATTGTCTTTTATTTAGAGAAAAAAATTGAAATTGTCTGTTATTTACAGAAAAATTTCAAATTTCACTTTTTATAGAAAATTTTTCGAATTTTTATAGAAATTTTCGAAATTTTTACATTTTATAGAAGATTTTATACATTTTCGAATTATCCATACCTGTTTCCTATATGAAGGTTTATCTGCCTCCAGAGTAAGTTCTGTTTCAAATATCAAACCTTTGCTGGTGCCCAATAAAATGGGTCCGGTTGAAGATTCTGTACCATAGGTTTTATTAAAAGCCACCGCAGTAATTTCATGATCTTTAAATTTTTCAATACGTCTAACTTTAGGACCATTGCCATTAATATAGAGAAAATCGGCAGATAAGCCGGGAGATTTTGGTATAAGACTAATGAGTGTATGATGTCCAGTTGGATCCAGAAATAACTTGCCAATTTTATAGCCAGCCAAATATTTCTCCAAAGAAATTTCTACAGAAATCACTTAAAAATAAGGTATCAAATCTAAACAAATTATAACAAAACTACTGACCTCCCGGTGGTATAGCCCGGGGCAAGAAGAACCTTAACAATGTTACTTCCGCGGAGGGCTGTGGTGCCTTTAGCAAACAAACCAGCCAATTTTTACACACCGTCAAATGCATAAATTCCCCGGTATATTGTTGCGGAATACGTAGTATCATTTTCCTTTTACTAAAAATGGGCGTTTCATCATTATCTGTTTTGCTGGATCCTGCTGCCGACTCATCATTTGGTATGGGATCCAGGAATTTCGGTTTTGCCAAGGATATATTGAGTAGATCTAATTTATCTTCTGGTTCTTCAACATTTGAAGCCATTTTTTAAAATGTTTTCTTAAATTTACACTTAATTTTCACTGATTTTTCGATAATTTTTGCAAATTTTGTTCAAAGTTTGTATGTCATTATTCTTTTGTTGTATTTTTTATGAATGAAGAAAAAGTGAAAATGAGAGAGAGGAATTTTTAATGAACAGCTGTTTGGTATTTACTACATTTTTGGCAGTGACATCTGTTGCTAAATGATGTAGTTATAATAAACACGGTTGCTTATTCAGTAGATATTTTTAAAATACATTTATTTAATTCTAATTAGATTATATCCTGTGTTCTTATTCTATCCGTATTTTTATAAGAACTTTTAAAAATTATAATTATTTGTATTATTAAATATTCTTTTGTTTAAAACAGTATAATATCAATTTTCCATTTAATATTCGTTACGTTACTAAAATTCATATTTAAAAAAAGAGTGATACTTTAAGAGCAACTCTGTTATTGTTTTTTTGCTTGATTTGCGCTCAAAATTATAAAAAGTGATTCGGCTTAAGCCGACTAAGCCTAGCCGCCGAACAAAATGTCAAAGCCGCCGCCGCCGAAAATTTTTCAGCTTAATACGGCTTGAAAATTTCGCCATATTTTGTACAATTTACAGAACACTTTCGCTAAATTTATGGAATTTTACAATATAAAATTAATTTGTTTTCATTTAAGCAAGTTTTCTTTTATCTAATAATAAGACGCTCATTGAAATTTGGCAGGTGTAGAACTTTGCTGAACGTTCGATGTATATGCTTCGCCTCAGATATTTTCGTGTTTTTTCGCGCCTAATTCGAGTCGCTGCTTTTACTTCAAACCAGCTTCGTTGACGTCAACCTAGCTGCACCTTTTTACATTGCTGGTATGTCATACCGTAAAAGGCTAGGATATCGAACATGTGTATTTTAAATGGAAAGTGCAGTTGATGTCAATTCTGCCGACTGCGAAAAGAAATTCTGCTAGAATTTTTCGCGCCTTTGGCAGTTTTCTGCATTTTTTATTTGCAAAAAAAATCTGTTGTTGTGTGTGTGTGTGCAAAAATCTAAAATGACAGAAATGATATTCTTTAAATAAAAAAAATAACTTTTTACTAACAATTGAAATTAATAAGATTGTATGCTATACTACTATACCGAGGGTCATTGTGCAAAGAAATAGTAAGTGTTGGGTTTAATTTAGTTAAATTGTTAATAACTATGATGAAAATGTTTTTCCAGGCGGAGTTTGTTTTCGTTTAATACCCAAAAGTGTTTATTGAAATCTAGATTTGGCATATTTGTGAGATCTAGAAGATTAAAAATGTAAGTCATGGTGTTAATTATTTATTTATTTGTCTATAAAGAACGTCTTTCTTTTCAAGAAAGAGGAGGCATCATGATGGTCTCCTGGAAGAATGCCCACAAGAGAGTGGCAATTGTATACCTCCCTAGTCACCTAGGCGGGTGGTGGTCGGTCGGCTAGTGGTGACATGGTATATTATCACCTAGAGGCAATGGACGGAAGCAGATTGCCGTATTCACGGGGTATCCTTGGGGTACATACTTATTATTATACCATTGATCTCAGTAGAATCACTACCATACACCCAGTGGAGCTCTTGTTGTCTCCAAACACTATGGTGGCCGAATATTTACAAGAAACGATTGTTAAGCCGCCTTTTATACAAATTTCCAGCTTTGTAGAGAATGTCTTCACGGACCTAGAGGATATAACCTGGCAAGGTATGTAGATGTTGTTTGGGCAAAATATTGGTACTAACCATTGTGGGCTTTATGTCAAATAAGCATTCTTGCTGCAATTAAAGTTTAAAACAGGTTTAATTTCAGTCAAACATTCAAATTTCAAGTGTTGAAATACACTTTCATTACACTTTAATTCAATAGCATTCTCCAGTGAAAAGGAAACTTGAATTCAAGTCGAACACTACAATGTTTTTACAGTATAATTCAATGCACGAAATCTATATAGATACGTATATAAAATTCTAACGTTACTGACTGACTGACTGGTTCATCATCGTAGAGCCTAAACGGTTGAAGCTAAAGACCAGAAATTTGGGCAGAAGGTTGGTCTCCCACCAAATGTATCCAATAAGGCGGGATTTTTGGAAATTCGAATTTTTTGGGGGTTAAAAAGGGTAAAAACGTAAATTCGGTAACCTCAAATCTCCTAAACTAGAAAAGTTACAAAAACGGTTAAAGCTTATCGTCGTTCATTTAAAAGAAAAGCGGACAGGTGTCCGGTAATTTTTTCAAATTCGGCCCCTTTGGGGAATAAACGGGTAAAAACTGTAATTTGGTACTTCTTTTGCACCCCATGTATTAGGGTTCTATACAAAGTACCTGTAGGAAATGTCAATATTAAAAGTGTGCTGAATCGCTATTGACTTTGTCAGTATTACTAGTGTCGAATTATACCTTATACAAGGCTTAGTGCTATTGACATTTAACATGTGCGTGTCATTGAAAATCCTCTAGTAACATTATGACTATTGACTTGGTATTGACTAGGTACTTCTCATGAATCCATATGGTGACATTAGAACCAGGAATTTACTAGCACATTTCTATATCGCGTGTCCATTCAGTTTTAATACAGACATTTTCTTAAGGAATATCATACATGGGAATTTTTCATTAAGCATTAAAATTTCATTACCATTTATAGAAAAAATTGTAATGAAAAATATTTTAAGTACCATTTAATGAAAATTATATTTTTTTCATTATAACTTTTTTTGATAATGGTAATGAATTTGATAATGAATTTTCAAAAACGAATTTAATTAGTATTTATAATTGTCGAAAAATATATTAAGGAAAATTTTTCGAAGATTCGAGATTGAAAGCTTTTAAAACCAGTTCCCGTAGCCCAAATTGGCTGAAATTTTGCAGTCATAAGTACATCTGATGACAATACAATAATATGTTCGAATATTCGAAATTAAGTTCGAAAATTCGAAGTTATTGTCGAAAATTTTTTTATGTTTTTAAATTAATCTCTGTGTCATAAAACCTAAAAAAAAATTTCGAAAATTCGAACTCGTGTTCGAAAAAATTTTAAAGCTGTTAAAACTAGTTCTTCTAGTCCGAATGTGCTGAAATTTGGCATACATGATTTCACCTACTGACAATACATTATAATGTTCGGATATTCGAAATTAATTTCGAAATTCGAACTAATGTTCGAAAATTTTTAAAATCCATTGAATAATGGTAATGAAAATTTATTTTTAAATAATTACTAATGAAATCGTTTCATTAAAAACCATTACCATTAGACAAAATAATGCTAATGAAAAAAAAATAATTATAATTTTTTTCAATTTAATGCTAATGAAATCGTCAATTAATTAGTCGATATAATTAACTACTCCCATGTATGAGGAATATTGACATGTTTGTTGACAATGCCACTAGATATACACCACATCTTTGGTCTCTGTATTTATACCCTACACCACTTTAGTGGGGAGGGTATATTGGATTTGTGCTGATGTTTGTAACATACAAAAATATTCGTCCTAGACCTTAAAGTATACCAATCGGCTTAGAATCGTTTTCTGAGTCGATTAAGCTATGTCCGTCCGTCCGTCAGGCTGGCTGGCTGTCCATGTAAACCTTGTGCGCAACGTACAGGTTGCAATTTTCAAGATAATTGGATGAAATTTGGCACGCACGCCTATTGAAAATGGTTAAAATCGGTCAATTATTTCACCTAGCCCCCATAGAACAGAACCCCCCGAAAAGGGCTTCTGAGCTCATAATTATGTTAAATATACAGATATATCGATAAAATACGGCACAACTAAGTTTTATAGAAGTCTTGATGACCCTGCCAAATTTCATAAAGATCGGGTCACATTCGACCCTAGCTTCCATACAAAGCCCCTTCAGAAAATTACTTGAATGTCCCAAATTAGCTTATAAAGACAAATATTGCGATGAAATTCAGCACAATAAAACATTATGTAAATATAAATATATTCACAAAATTTTATCGGCCTCTTTCAGAAAATTAGTTTTTCATCCATAAATTGCTTAAATGTATCGGAACAAGGGAATATTGAAGATAAATGCTTTATTATGAAAAATAAATCACATTTAATATTCATAACTGGTGTAGGGTATCATATGGTCGACCACGCCCGACAATACTTTCTTACTTGTTTTTATATTGACAGAGAAATGAAAGATTAAAGACATTTGAACTAGTACTGTTGACAAAAAGATATATGGACCCAGTCTGACTGCAGGGTACTTTTTCACTAACACATGCTTAGAGTTAGGTACTCCTGTCAAAGAGTCGGACTACTTGTTATACTTTGTTTCTATAGTTGAAACGAAAAGTCGACTTTTTGACTTTTTTCATTTAGTTAAAAGTCGACTTTTCGAAAAATCGACTTTTCGACTTTTTTCATTTAATTAAAAGTCGACTTTTAGACTTTTCGACTATAAGTATTTTATAAATAGTCGACTTTTCGACTTTTTTCGACTTTTTGACTATTTTCGACTTTTTTCGGGGTTTTCCGACTATTTTAGAGTTTTTGACTTTTTTTCCACTTTTTTAAAATTTTCGACTATTTTTGACTTTTTTCTACAATTTTTCTTTTCCGACTTTTTTCGACATTTCCCCTTTTTTCGATTTTTTCGACTTTCAGACTTTTCGATTTTTATTAACAAATTCGACTTTTCGACTTTTTCACAGACGATAGTCGAGTTATCGACTTTTTTGGAACAAAATAGTCGACTTCGACTTTTCGACAAAAAGTCACGATTTATAGAACCCTACCATTTATCTTTTAAACCAGAGAACATTCAAAAAATGTTTTTGAATCCTTCATAACATGACGAACAAATAAAAATATGAATTTTGTACTTTTTGGATATTCGGACGTTTAAGGGGTGAAAATTGTACCTATTTTTGGTATTTTTTTATAAAACATTGTTTTTGGTTTATTAACTTATACATATGAATACATAATAACGGGATCAAAATTCGATGTTGCAACTTTTTGGAACAGAATTTTTATTTCGTCAATGGGGAGGAAAAAAGTACAAAAGGGGTAAAAACGGTAATTTGATTTTATTCAAGAAACACTAAATATGCTAATGGGGTGTTATTTTGAACACTGGTACCAAGTGATATTTTTTCGTACTTTTTCATTCTCCAACTGGTACTTTTTGAGTTTTCTATGATATTGAAATCGAAACATGAAATTAATAATTAAGGGACTTTTTGGAATTTTTTCGTCTACAAAGTTACTTTTTGGGTTTTCTATAAAATTTAACCTAGAAACATGAAATTAAGCGAGTAGAGTCCGGAGTAAATGAGAATCTGTAAAATGTGACTTATTGGTACTTTATGGTACTTCGACTGGTACTTTTTGAGCTTGCTACAAAATTTGAACCTCGAAACATGAAATTAAGCACTTAGAGCCAGGAGTAAATGAGAATCTATAAAAGGGGAACTTTATCGTACTTCGACTGGTACTTTTCTGGTACTGATACTGGTACTGAGTTTTCCATAAAATTAAACATAAAAATAAATATGTAGAGCCCGGAGTAAATTACAATCTATAAAAAGGGACGTTTTAGTACTCTTTCGTTCTTCGACTGGTACTTTTTGAATTTTTTATAATATTGAACCTAGAAACATGAAATTAAGAATGTACAGCCCGGATTAAATGATAACATATAAAAGGGGACTTTTTGGTACTTTTTCGTTCTTCGACTGGTACTTTTTGAATTTTTTATAATATTGAACCTAGAAACATGAAATTGGGAATGTACAGCCCGGATTAAGTGATAACATATAAAAGGGGACTTTTTGGTACTTTTTCGTTCTTCGACTGGTACTTTTTGAATTTTTTATAATATTGAACCTAGAAACATGAAATTAGGAATGTGCAGCCCGGATTAAGTGATAACATATAAAAGGGGACTTTTTGGTACTTTTTCGTTCTTCGACTGGAACTTTTTGAATTTTCTAAAATATTGAATATATATACATAAAATTAAACACGCAATTGAACGAAAATTTATCTCGCTTACGTCCATTTTGCAAAAAGGGCTCGATATCAATCGAAATCTCTATAGGCCATAATTGACCCTGCCCCCTTCAATAATAGATTTTAACGTTTTCTACGTACTTAATAATACCATAATAAAACAATTTTTGTTGGAACGAAAATATGTAATGTAAACATGTAAATATGTAAATGAAATCTTCTTCAGAAAATGACTTAAACGCACATAAATGGCTTTCAAATGTCGATGTCGACGAAAAAAACATTTTTAGGAACCTAAACGCCAATATAACCCTCTTACAGAAAATCAGTTTATAGCTAATACATCATTCCAAAAGTTATCATTATGATAGAATTATGGTAGAATTAAAAAAATACTTTAAATTATAGAGAACTTTGTCCATAATTGACCCAATTCCACATTTAAGTCCCTAATCCGAAAATCACGGTGACGTTCTTATTAATCTAATGATTAAAGTCCATATATATATATATATATATATATATATGACCACGCCGAATATAACTCTTACTTCTTACTTATTTAAAAGATTAGTTCATAGTCAAGTTCATATGCTAGTCCATAGGCTAATTCACCAATCAGTCAATAGACTATTGAATAGACTTTTCCAAAAACTAGCTTATAGACTTGTCAACAGACTAGTTCAGAGACTAGTATATATACTAGTATATACTATCAATATATACTAATCAATAAAGTTGTCATTAAAATAGCCGATAGGGTATTCAAAATATTAGTCCAGAGAATAGTGAAAGAGTTGTCAATAGAATAATTCTAGCCAATTATTATAAACTATAATAAACTAGTCATTAAAATAGCAGAATAGACTAAGCAAATGATTAGTTAATAGATTTATTCATTGTTTTTTTTTTTTTTTAATATATTTTTCAATAAATTAGTTCTTACGTTTGTCAATAGACCAATTCAGAGCCTGGCCAAAGTACTGGTTCATAGACTGGTCCACAGACTAGGCAATAAACTAGTAAATACTCTAGTCCTTAGACTAATTAATAAACTAGTAACCGAACTAGCCCAGAGAGTAAGTAAACTAGCCCGGACTCTAGTCTAATACTATTCAATAGAGTAGAAAGTCAATATTTACTGATTCTTCATCGCACAGCCCAAGCGGTTGAAGTTATAAAATTGAAATTTGGACAGAAGATTGGTGTCACGGCAGATAGACGGAATTTTTGAAGGAAGTTCGAATGTTTCGGGGTTAAAAATTGGTATATTTGGTATAGTTTTTGAAAATTTATGAGAACTGTGGCTTTGATGTTTGATTTGAACTTAGTCCAGCAAAAACTTACTTTGAAAAGTTAGGGGGGTTAAATGCTAAATGCCTTACTTTGTCATTATTTTATCACAATGATGATATTGAAGTCTAATACTTATTATTTAGCATTTAATGCGATCGTTTGCTAATAAAGAGTTAAGTAAGTAGTTTTGTTTTTGAGAAAAAAGATAGCCTACAACTACTATTACTTTTTTACAAAAAAAAAAAAAAAACAGTATTCATTTGTCGGGGCTATAAAGTGAGTACATTCTTACATATAATATTATCTGTAAGTCATTACTACACTTCTTTTAAGTAAGCTGTTGGGTACTTACAAGTCATGATTATGTTTTTGCTGGGATTAATGAAATGTATTATGTAATCGCTTTTAACTATTAACTCCAAAAAATTACCTAGTAGTAACCAAAACACATTTTAAACCAACTATTTATAATTTTAGTTTACGTTTGCATTTGAAACTTTAAAAAACCTTAATACAATGAATTTTTGTAGATTTTGCAAAATATACTAAATTCAAAAAAATGTCATATGATAAAATTTGTTTATAATAATTTAAATGATCAACCAATATGTGTACATAAATTCGGTATTATGCGACATTTAATAATATTGAATTCCAGATTGTATTTGTTTATTTAATAAATACAAAAAAATATTAATTTGCAAAAAAAAAAAAGTACGTACATCACACAAATGTGTTAAAACGACATACAGATATTTGTACATACATACATACAAATGTTTATAATATTACGTTTGTTTGTTTTAGATCAAATATTTACATATATACCCATTTTATATGTTAAGATTGAATTGTGCTAAATCGCACGTTTCTTTTTTGTCAACCACAAAATAATTTTTCAATATTTAGTAGTAAAGTATAGATATTAAAATAATTATTATAAAACCACAACGATTATTTGAGACCCTAATATTTTGTATCTGTCTTTGATTTATGCCGATTATGTATGTAGCGGAAGCTAACTCTTTTATGTCTAGACTATAGACTACTGACTTCTATACACCAGACTTTGGGGCATTCATTAGTTCCGACTATAGACTATATATACGATTCCGTATTCCAGACTATAAACTATTCTATAGTCAGGATAATAGACTATTGTTCCTTAGTTCAGACTATAGACAATTCTATAATCCTGATTAAATGTTTTTCTATAGTTCAGACTATGGACTATTATATAGTCCAGACTATCGACAATTTTACAGTCCAGACTATCGACAATTTTACAGTCCAGACTATAGACTATTCTATACTCCAGATTATAGACTGTTCTTCACAACTTAATCGGACTATTCTATAGTCCAGACTATAGACTATTCTATAGTCCAGACTATAGACTATTCTATAGTCCAGACTATAGACTATTCTATAGTCCAGACTATAGACTATTCTATAGTCCAGACTATAGACTATTCTATAGTCCAGACTATAGACTATTCTATAGTCCAGACTATAGACTATTCTATAGTCCAGACTATAGACTATTCTATAGTCCAGACTATAGACTATTCTATAGTCCAGACTATAGACTATTCTATAATCCAGACTATAGACTATTCTATAGTCCAGACTATAGACTATTCTATAGTCCAGACTATAGACTATTCTATAGTCCAGACTATAGACTATTCTATAGTCCAGACTATAGACTATTCTATAGTCCAGACTATAGACTATTCTATAATCCAGACTATAGACTATGCAATAGTCCAGACTATAGAATAGTCCATAGTGCAGACTATGGACAATATAGACTATTCTATAGTCCACACCATAGACTATTCTATAGTCCACACTATAGACTATTCTATAGTCCACACTATAGACTATTCTATAGTCCACACTATAGACTATTCTTTAGTCCACACTATAGACTATTCTATAGTCCACACTGTAGACTATTCTATAGTCCACACTATAGACTATTCTATAGTCAACATTATAGACTATTCTATAGTCCACACTATAGATTATTCTATAGTCCACACTATAGATTATTCTATAGTCCACACTATAGACTATATTCTATAGTCCACACTATAGCCTATTCTATAGTCCACACTATAGCCTATTCTATAGTTCACACTATAGCCTATTCTATAGTCCACACTATAGACTATTCTATGGTCCACACAATAGACTATTCTATAGTCCAGACTATAGACTATTCTATAGTCCAGACTATAGACTATTCTATAGTCCAGACTATAGACTATTCTATAGTCCAGACTATAGACTATTCTATAGTCCAGACTATAGACTATTCTATAGTCCAGACTATAGACTATTCTATAGTCCAGACTATAGACTATTCTATAGTCCAGACTATAGACTATTCTATAGTCCAGACTATAGACTATTCTATAGTCCAGACTATAGACTATTCTATAGTCCAGACTATAGACTATTCTATAGTCCAGACTATAGACTATTCTATAGTCCAGACTATAGACTATTCTATAGTCCAGACTATAGACTATTCTATAGTCCAGACTATAGACTATTCTATAGTCCAGACTATAGACTATTCTATAGTCCAGACTATTGACTATTCGATAGTCCAGACTATAGACTATTCGATAGTCCAGACTATAGACTATTCGATAGTCCAGACTATAGACTATTTGATAGTCCAGACTATAGACTATTCTATAGTCCAGGCTATAGACTATTCGATAGTCCAGACTATAGACTATTCGATAGTCCAGACTATAGACTATTCGATAGTCCAGACTATAGACTATTCTATAGTCCAGAATATAGACTATTTGATAGTCCAGACTATAGACTATTCTATAGTCCAGGCTATAGACTATTCGATAGTCCAGACTATAGACTATTCTATAGTCCAGAATATAGACTATTTTATATTCCAGACTATAGACTATTCTATAGTCCAGACTATAGACTATTCTATAGTCCAGACTATAGACTATTTTATAGTCCAGACTATAGACTATTCGATAGTCCAGACTATAGACTATTCTCTAGTCCAAACTATAGACTATTCTCTAGTCCAGACTATAGGCTATTCTCTAGTCCAGACTATAGACTATTCTATAGTCCAGACTAAAGACTATTCTCTAGTCCAGACTATAGACTATTCTATAGTCCAGACTAGAGACTATTCTATAGTCCAGACTAGAGACTATTCTATAGTCCAGACTAGAGACTATTCTATAGTTTAGACTAAAGACTATTCTATAGTCCAGACTATTCTATAGTCCAAATTATAGACTATTCTCTAGTCCAATCTATAGACTATTCTCTAGTCCAGACTAGAGGCTATTCTCTAGTCCAGACTAGAGGCTATTCTATAGTCCAGACTATAGCCTATTCTATAGTCCAGACTAGAGACTATTCTATAGTTTAGACTAAAGACTATTCTATAGTCCAGACTATAGACTATTCTATAGTCCAGACTATAGACTATTCTATAGTCCAAACTATAGACTATTCTCTAGTCCAAAATATAGACTATTATTTAGTCCAGACTAGAGGCTATTCTATAGTCCAGACTATAGCCTATTCTATAGTCCAGACTATAGCCTATTCTATAGTCCAGACTATAGACTCTATAGTCCAAACTATAGACTATTCTCTAGTCCATACTAGAGACTATTTGTAGTCCAGACTATTATATTCCATATTCTCTAGCTTATTCCGAGCTGCTCTTTGTGATCTATCAAGTTTACCAATATTTTCTCCTATAGGGTGCCTATTCCATACATACCTATCGTATCGTAATAAAAACTGTAATAAGTTATTAACACTTTTTTGTCACATAATTATAACTTTATTGCCAGTTTGCAATAAACTTGCAACGCATCAAGTGCTACGCTAAACAAGTATTTAAAAAACAATTATACGAAAACTGCAAAAAATAAAATACCGGGTAAAAAACACAAAACCTATGTCACTAAATAACGGGGTGAGACGTCGTGTAAAAGTAGACAAAAGTATCACAATTATATATTTAAGGCAAAAAAACAAAGAATAGATTCATTACCGGTTAATTCAAGTGTAAAATTTTCTATATAATGTATGTAGATAGAAAATAGTGGGAAATTGACAAACTTAACAGAAAAAAAAACAGTTTTATTTAAATCTCAGCACCCACACTCTCTTAAAGCCCCCTTCCCCAAAAAAAAGCAAACCTTTTAAGAGAGTAAAATAAAATCCAACCACAAACGATTTCTAACGTTAACACATATTATAGTTTTGTTTGGGAATTTATTTCGGGAATTTAGAAAATTTTTATTATAAATACGCAGAGCAAGGCTCTCCAAGTTTCATTCTCTTGTAGTGGTTAAAGTGACATGATAGTGAGTAGATTGCTGTACTGTAGCAAGTCATGTATCAGCATGTCCTTCCAAACACAACAAATATTTTTAGTAATGGTAAGTGGAGAAAAAACTGTTTAGATAAAAGAAAAAAATTATTAAAAAAAAATTAATAAATAAATAATTAAAAAGTTTTTAAAATTTCATACAAAAAAATAGTTATAATTAATATATGATAAACTTTTAAATATTAAAGTTTTTTTTGTAATTAAATAAAGTGCCTGTGAAAAAAAAATCTGTTGAAATATGGGTGCGGATTAACAGATACATTTTTTTTTTTGGTTAATGTGTTAATGTTCTTTTCAATTTAAAAATTTATTTGTGAATTTAATAAATTAATAAAAATATTTAACAAAATTTATGTTATAATTAAAAAATAAACAAATATTAAATATAATATAATAAATAAATAATACAAAATTAATATGGTAAAATAAACACATTGTGTATTCAGACAACTGTTGGTAAATAATTCAAATAAAACGTTTTTTTTTTTCTTTTTCAAATTAATAATTGTATACATATTAAATTACACATAAATAAATTTATATAGAAGTACATATATACACATCCGTTCATACTTATATACAAATTTCGTCATCTACCGTTACAAGTGTTTAATAGTTGCATGTATAATGTTTAAAACCATGTGAGTGTGAGTGTGAATGTGTGTCTCCTTCCCACTCCCTTTTTGGGGTTTGTTTACGAACTCGGGAGTGTTTGTTTTAATATAGTGTGACGTCTATTATATTGATACAAAATAGATAAGATCAAAACCAATTTTCGCATAAGAAAATGTTTTATAAATATTTATACCCTGCACCACTATAGTGATTTTATATTGGTCCTTCACTTGTTCGAAATTACTTTAAGCTATGTCCGATTGTCTGGGCTGTCCATGAAAATCTTTTGCATACGCAACGAAGCCTATTAGAAACGGTTCATTATTATACCTAGCCTCCATAACTAATCTGAGATTTCACTATAGTCTGGACTATAGAGTTGACTATTACCTGGACTATGTACATGACTATAGTCTGGACTATAGATTAGCATCTGGACTATGGATTTGACTATAGTCTGGACTAAGACTTAACTATATTCTAGACTTTAGACTTCACAATAGTCTTGACTATAGATTAGAATATGTTCTGGATTGTGGACTACGCATAAGAAAGTGTTTTATAAATATTTATACCCTGCACCACTATAGTGATTTTATATTGGTCCTTCACTTGTTCGAAATTACTTTAAGCTATGTCCGATTGTCTGGGCTGTCCATGAAAACCCTTTGCATATGCAACGAAGCCTATTAGAATCGGTTCATTATTATACCTAGCCTCCATAACTAATTTGAGATTTCACTATAGTCTGGACTATAGAGTTGACTATTACCTGGACTATGTACATGACTATAGTCTGGACTAAGACTTAACTATATTCTAGACTTTAGACTTCACAATAGTCTTGACTATAGATTAGAATATGTTCTGGATTGTGGACTTGACCATAGACTGGACTACGACTTCACTATATTCTAGACTACGACTTTAGTATATTCTGGACTATAGATTTCACTATTGACTTTACTATATTATGGACTATAGTCTTCACTATAATCTGGACTATAGCGTTGACTACTCTGAACTGTGTATATGACTATAGTCTGTATTATATATTAGCATATGTTCTGGACTATAGATTTGACTATAGTCTGGACTACGACTTCACTATATTCTGGACTATAGTTTAGCATATGTTCTGGACTATAGATTTGACTATAGTTCGAACTATAAATTAGCATATGTTCTGGACTACAGATGTGACTTTAGTCTGGACTATAGATTTCACTATATTCTGGACTATAGACTTCGGTATATTCTGGACTATAGTCTTCTCTGTAATCTGGACTATAGAGTTGATTATTATATGGACTATGTACATTATTATAGTCTGGACTATAGATTAGTATATGTTGACTATAGATTAGAATATGTTCTGGACTATAGCTTTGACTATTATCTGGCTTGTGGACTTGACTATAGTCAAAACTAAGACTTCGGTATATTCTGTACTGGAGATTAGAATATGTTGTGGACTATAGGGGAGACTAAAGTCCGTACTGTGGATTTCACTATAGTCTGGACTAAAGAGTAGAATATGTTCTGAACTGTAGTCCAAACTATTTCATAGTACAGACTATAAACTATGCGATAGTTTAGACAATTGAAAAGTACCCTACTTCTAGATTTCAGAAAGTCGGAAATATAAAAAACGACAAACTTATTAAAAATCGATCCATGATTTCCGTTAGATCCAAAGTACACAAAAGTCCAGCTATGGTTAAACTGTTTTTGATCGTAGTCCCCGTTCTTTTCTTTTCAAAAAGTAGCTTCAATATTCATAATTGACTTGTGAACATTATTAGCAAGTTTAATATGAATCTATAAAAATCGATCAGCAATATAATGTATCATTAAGAAAATCATTTATTTTATCTCCAGATTTCGACTCATTATTTTTAAACATTAATTAAAATCACTTTGATTACACCGTAAGAGAATGTTGCATAGGTTTCAAACAATACTGTACGTGGTGTTGGGCATTTTATTTGTCACACTGTATCAATACAAACTTACATACATACATACAAATATTTACCCCCATATATGAGATTCATCATACATCCATACGTACTGTATAAACAAAACACAGAACCGCCAAAATTTTTAAAGTTCAAGTAAAAATATTAAATATCAACAATCGAAGTATGACGAAATATTTCATCATAATTTCTTAGACATTTCGTGGAAATTTTTAAGAAAAATGAAAATGTTCAAAACAAAAACACCAAAAAGAAAAAAATTACAAAAAAAGAAAACATGTGAAAAATTGGAAAATGTGTGTGTACATCTTTAGATAAATACCATCATTACCCATAAAAGAAAGAATATAATTCGAAAATTCCTGCACTAGTTCCCCCCAACAAATTAGATAAAAACAAACAGCGGCGGCATGTCAAGTACATTTGTTAGATAAATTTTAAACAAAACCAAATAACAGTTATGCGAAATGACAGATATGAAATTTGTACCAAATGGGATGATAAAATGTACCAACTATGAATCAAGATTAGGGGCACCTAATTTGACTCAAGTTTACATTTTAAACATGATTATAGTAGGTAGACTATAGGCTAGTATGTAATACTACAGACAATAGACCAGTCTATATTTTACTTATCTATATTTTACTAAAGTCAGGAGAAGAGACTATATTGTGGTCTGAATCTGAAGATTTGTCAATAGTCTGAAATATAGACTCACCTAGAGTTTGGACTGTAGACTTGCCTAGTATCTGAACTACAAATTTACCTACAGTTTGTTTTATAGACTTAACTATAGGTTGAACTTTAGACATAACAATATTCAGGACTTTAGAATTGACTGCAGTCTGGACTTTAGACTTGACTATGGTCTGGATTATAGACTTAACTAAAGTCTGGTATATAGACTAGTCTATAAGCTGTACTAAAGACCAGACTATTGATCTGGCTAGACTTGATTGTAGTTTGGGCTATAGACTTGATTATAGTCTATACCATAGACTTGACTATAGTCTAGACTATAGTCTTGACTATAGACTAGACCTTGTATACTCTATAGATCTGGCTAGACTTGACTATAGTCTATAGTCTTGACTGTACTTTGGACTATAGACTTAATTATAGTTTGGACTCTAGACTTTACTATAGTTTGGAATCTAGACTTGACTATAGTATAGACTTGACTATAGTCTAGACAGTAGACTATAATCTTGCTACAGACTTGACTATAGTCTGGACTATAGGCTTGACTATAGTTTGGACTATAGACTTGATTATAGTTTGGACTATAGAAATGACTATAGTCTAGACTATAGGCCTGGGCTATAGACTTGATTATAGTCTGGATTATAGACTTGACTATATTCTGGTCTATAAACTGGACTATTGACTTAACTATAATCTGTACTAAATATATTGCTATAGTTTGAACATGGACTATTGGAAATGACAGTGGTCTGGTTTAACTATATTTTCTGAATTGTTAAGAATATTGCAAGGTTTATAGACGGAGCCAAAGTCTTGACCAAAATTAAAAAGATTTAGCTTTAGTACCTTAACGGGATTGTACCCGTACTTTTTAGGTCTTCACATATTTAAAAATGAACCATTTCCTCAATTTTGTCATCACTGCTAAATACACGTTGTTTTTACCTTTTCGGTTTAATAAGAACTCGTAAAACAACTCACAATCGTAATAACAAAAACCGTTATTTCTTACGTCTCTTTTTCTAACGGAGCATGTGCAAAGAGGACATAAAGGAATAAAAAGAGAAAAAGTATCGGCAAATTAAATGGGAGCATTTATGCTCTCGTAAAAGCCGAATAAATTCTTTAAGAAATTAGGAACTACATATATTGCGTGGGTTATACTCATTTTTAGAAGAGATTTTCCAACATAAATTGTATTAACTATCGATATGTAAAGATGACTGACTGACTGGTTGTAGTAGTATGATAAATATTTAACAAGCATGTATATGTAATAACATACGTCCAATCGCACATTGTTACCAAAATGCTTTTTTGTTGGTGTATAAGTAGGGTACTATGGCCCCATGATGATAAACTTTTTATAGACGACTTTCACCGCTTTATGTTGGTTTGGTTGGGGTTCATCGTATAAATAAACAAAACAGCTGTTGTTTCGTTTACTTTTATATTGTTATTTTTGTTGGTGTTTTTTTTTTCGTTTTTCTTATTTCTAAGTAAAAAAGACGAGCCCTCTTTATTTAAGTTCATTGGTAGTTGTGTGTTAGTGCCAAAAGTAGACTATTTTTGTCCTAGTTTTCTGTTTAACAGGGTAACAGGGGTGGAATTTGATTTTGTATGTTTAAAGTTGGCTTTACAAAAACAACCTTTAAGGCTTTTTACTTTTTTTTAAAGCCAATGGGCCATACTAACGACATTGAAGTCTATAACCTTCAAAATCCTTGAGAAAAATCCCATGCTA